GTTTCAGCAGTCTCTGTGGCCAGCATCTTCAGAGGACAGGAGTTAGAGCTCTCTTTGTGTTCTGGTATAGCATGTGGGATTGTTGATTGCTTGTAGCTGTGGGATCAGTTTTTTTTTTCCCTTTTCAATCCAGTCTTCTTAAATGAACAAAAACCTGATCCCACAGCTACAAATACTCAACAATCTCACACACTTCACCAGAACACAGACAAAGCTCTAGTTCCTGTCCTCTGAAGATGCCAGTCACAGAGACTGGTGAAATGTTAGGAAGAAAAACCTCCAGAACACAGCCAAACAGCCCGAAAAACCTACAACAACAATTCCCAGATCCTTCTCACAGGATTACTGATCCAAGTATCCCCCATCTTGTAACTGTGCATTTGGTTTTCTCCCTAGATGTAGAACTCTGCATTTATCTCAGTTAAACTTCATTCTGTTGTTTTCAGCCAAGGGCTCAAGCCTATCAAGATATTTTTGAATTTTGATACTGTTTTCCAAGGTATTAGCTATTCCATGTTCCCAGAGTCTGAAAAATATGTCATTAGACCTTTTGAACTCCAGTCCCCGAAGGGGAGAAAAGCAAGTGCATGGGCTCTTCACTTCAACAATCATGGTTACAAGCAGGTATATGAATTTATTACCTTGGATTATCAACAAACTTTTCTATTAGCATAGCATCATCATTGAAAGATTTCTTTGCTTCCCTCCTGGCTGATTCTAATTGTTCCCGAAACTCTTTTTCTGAGAAGGCAATTCTCATCCCCTAAAAGCAGCAACAAAATCAATGTTATAAAAGGAAATAAGGCTACTTTAAAAGAAGCATTAGGGTCTCATAAATCCTTTGAGATTAGTTTATCATACAGGTGCATCATTCTCCTGATCATTAACTCCCAATCAGTGACTAATGAGATAACTATAGTGAATCTACACAGGCTGCCCAAATGCCAAGAGAACATAATGCTGAGCTATGGATATGGAAAATGAAAACCATAATCTTACAATTTTCCTGTTAGGTGCTTTGTGACATTATTATCAGGGTCAGGAGAGAAACCAGAATGTCATCACGGACATCTTGGGTCTTAATACACATCAGCTGGTGAATATAATTGTTTATAACAAGAAGTGGACCTTGAAACAATCTTACAATGTGGACTGCTGCTGTTCTAGCCAGACATGCTCTTTCCCATAATGCTCCCATTCCATTTCTCCTTTCACTTGTTTCTCATTCCTTCCCTTCTCCTTCAATAATCAGCATCTGATGCCCACTGAGAAAGCTCAGCCCTCAAGGGGCTGTTACTTGGAGTTTTTCCTTTTTTCAGCCTTCTTCTTGAAGGGTTTGGCACTTGTACGCACTCAAAAATTCGCACAGATGGTGCAGGTTCGGCTGTATAAGGATCCACATTTACAGCTTTTGCTTGCTGTTAGTCGACTGCACATCTTCATAGTACAACCATGATTTCAGATGTTCTGCTGGTGACTGTGACACTACTTCCCAAGCAAAGGAGCAAATGCTGGTGTTGTTCTTGCTATACACAAACATATTACCACTTTGTCCTTACCTTCCCTCCACCTCCACGTACTGCTTTGATCATGACTGGATAACCTATCCTTCTGGCTTGCTCCTCCAAGCAGCTGTCTGACTGATCTTCACCATGATAACCTTCAACAACAGGAACACCAGCAGCAGACATTATAGCCTTGGAAGTACTACAAAAGAATATTATTGATACTCAGATACATCATAAAATACTTTCTTTCTATGCTCCTCAAAACCTCCCAACTAATGTCCTTCATTTGTCACCAATCTAGAGTTGTTTTATTTGGAAAGAAACTGTTATGCAGTGTATGCATGCTGGGGATAATAACATCACTTACTACTTTCTCATGTTAACTGTCTGTCTAAACTTCCTCAACTGCCATGAAATAAATCAGGACCCCATGAATTCAGTCAAGATTCATACTGTATGAAGTTCTCAGGCAACAGATAGCCCACCCTGCCTTTATCAGATTATTAAAGTATTGAAAAATTGCAAGCTTTTGATGTATACCAGCCTTCATCTGCCTGTGCACCAATATATTGTGGATAATGTAGAAAATAATATGAAAGTCTCAAATATTCATGACAAATGTCCATGACAAGTCTGTTTCTTAAAGATGGGTTACAAAAAGCAGGCTGTAAACACAGGTCAGGAGAGTGGGTTTCAAATTGCTGTACAAGGAACACACTACTTCCTTTGTTTCTTCTCCCCTCCAATTTATATTATTCTCAGACTTATGAAAAGACTATAGCTTAATTTCTGAATAGTTGGATTTCTAACTGGGGTGAGGGTGTCAAACCATAGTCAAAGACAAAAGCATCTTAACTGTCCCAGCAAACCACATTTTGTAACAAAATTATCCATGGAGCAAAACCGAATACCTTTTAATGCCCATGTCTCTGATAGCCGATGATGGAGGACCTATAAAAATGATTCCTTCTCGACTGCAGAGCTCTGCAAATTCTGTGTTTTCTGACAGGAAGCCATAGCCTGGATGGATGGCCTAAAACAGGAAGGATCAGGGACTAGGTGGAAATGTTTTCAAAAATTAAGTGGTTGCTGGCTTCCAGTGAAAAGACAGTAAAGGAAGGAGCCAGGCAGATCTTATATGAAACCAGTTTCACCAGAAAGAAAAGCCCTAACCTGCATCCTCCCAAAACTTCTGCATCAACAAAAGATGGACATAAAGCAGCAGTTGTCAAGGTATATATGGGAAGAGACATTCTTCTTACACTTCAGGACAGTATAATTTGTGATTGTACCTCGCCCGTATACACATATCAGGTAGGTCAGAAATAGTTAAGTTTATAAATATCCTACATTTACATTCTATACTATATCATGCCATTCCATAACTGAAGCTCTTTGTGCTTTACAGAACAAGAATTTTAAATGATCCAGTGTTTTTAAAAATGTGTAAAATCAAAATGAAAGAAAAAACCAAGCAGCAGCGGAAGATCTAAAAGCACTATCCAATTTTTAAAACTCAGGAGAATAAAAAGCTCCGGAACAAACCATGATTCAGCTGGGAATGTCCAAGGAGGACATTGCACAATCAGGCTGCAGACTGGAAATGCCTTCTCTTCATTATCCACCTGCCTCCTTGTAATTACTGGAAGCACTAAGAAGAGGTCAGAAGGGTCCAGGCAGGTATACACAGGAGGAGGCAACCCTTCAAGTAGTCTACTCCTAAGCCATTTGGGGCTCTGAGAGCTGACACTTTAAACTGAGCCCAGAAATAATGTGCACATCAATCAGGAAACAACTGAATAGGATAGTCCTTGCAAGTCATCTCACTGACTCATTCTGAAGGTTCCAGAGCATTTTCAAAGGTAGACCCACACATAAAATGTTGGATTTATATCAGCATACATGTTGCTTTAGTTGTGTGACGTCTGTCCAAACAGGGTCATAAGTAGGGTACACAATGAAAGCTGCTTTGGATCTGCAAGGTTTGCCTGTCCTCCATCAATAATATGGGTCCAAACTACCACTTTTATCCTTTGGGAGCCTAGAATAGTATTCCAGGGTGCATGAGAGCTTGTTAATTTCTCTCAAATCATAGGCAAAACAACAAGGAGGGATCCAGTGGATATCACCAGGAAGCAGCATGACTTTGACCCTCTCACAGTGTTCAGGGTGTGCCATCTAACTGCAGATATACAACTGCGGCAACTCAAAGTTGTCTTCCATGACTTGCCTACTCCACAAAAACTTTATTTGGAATATCACTAGAACTGAAAATTATGATTGATTGATAGAAACATGGTAACCATTAACTTAGTTTTTACCTGTGCTGATGATTTTCTGGCCACTTGCATTATTTTCTCCATGGCTAAGTAGCTCTGCTGAGATGGTGCTGGACCGATACAATATGCTTCATCTGCCTATAATGATAAGAAGAGCTGCACTGGGCTATAATAATTTTAGAATTATTATTTCAAAATGCCATTAGTGGTTATAAAAAAGTTCACTAAGAACTTTTGGGTTTGATTTTGACAAAATTGAAGTAGACAGTAATCCACGACATTAAAATAAAGCTGTTTGTAATGTATAACAATACTCTTGTATCTGTTTTTGTTACCCTTGCAGAAACAGACTAATATACTTGAAAAATTCTGCTTCATGTTTACTTAGGAATAAACTCTGCACAACAAATCTGCACTTAAATAAATGAATGGCAAAAAGAAGGAATAAATATTCAAAATATTCTTACTCTAGGTCTGTAATGCAATAAAGAATAAATCTATGGCCAGAATCCTATTAGTGTTGGTGTAATATGCTGTGGGTCATTGCAGCCAATTAATGGGGTGTCTTGGCTGTGCAAGCAAGGGTGCAATTAAATATGTGACTAAGAATTAAATATGTGTTTGTGCACACACGCTACAACACCAATTACCCATAATCTGCCACAACAAATTATGGAAACTTTATGCAAATACCAAAAGGAGTCTGGTCAACATATTTATTTTCCAACATATGTAAAGATTTGAAATAAAGTTTAATCTAAGCAGAAATGAACAGTAATTTTTTAGATGTGGACATCTTTTGCATTGAGTATTAAAAGATTCTGATACTATGGTGTAGTTGATGATACACTAGAACTCAGGAGGCCTGGCTTCATATCCCCACTCAGCCATGGAAGCTCCTGGGGGCAGGGGGCAGAAGTGGTAAAACTGTCCCTTAATTGTCTCACTTTGCTTGAAAGCCACCACGCATTCACAAGTCACCTGATTACAATTGTTTCTAGTTTCTAAAGCTGTACGTTTAATTACAGAAAAATATATTTTTCGTTTACAAACCAGAAAGACTGCCACTTAATGAAGAGCCTCTGTAAAATCTGCAGAAACAAATCTCTCACATGTTAGAGTATATATTCCCCATACAGAAGACACCAGGATGAAATACTGGCATTTCTTGTGAAAAGATCATTAGTGGTAGAGTGGAGAGAGAGGCCCACTCAACACCCGAGAGATCCCAAAGTAGGCAATGCAGGGCTAAATAAACGATTCAATGTACTGCGGCCTCTTATGTTTGAAATTACGTCCCTTCAAAAGTATTTGAAGACTACTTGTTAGAAGTTTTGACTAGCACATTTTACCATTGCTACATGCATTGAATTCCGGTCAGCTTCACTGTAAACTGCTACAGATTTCACACCCATCTTTCTCGCTGTCCGCATAACTCTACATGCTATTTCACCTCGATTGGCCACAAGGATCTTCTCGATATTATGTCGGCCTGGTTTTAAAAGGAAAAAGAGATCCAGGAGTAGGAACTTTGAAAAAAAGTTAAAGTTTCACTTTTACTGTTAATAATTCATAGGTTAGAATACTCTGGCATTAATGTATGAGATTTTTTTAGAATGTGTCTTCTACGTACTAAGTAAGGTCAGAATTACAGATTCTTGGAAATAGGATTGCTACTAACTTGTAGGTGTCTACCTGTGCCTTTGTTGAACAGGGTTACAACTATTTTAAAAACTTGCAAAACCTGTTTAACTAGAAGTAACAGCAGAATAGAAGAAATATCCATTGATACCAAGGACATTGAAACCTCTCCTAAATCAGCTGATTAGTCTCCAGCTTCAGTGTTGTTGACTGACCTTTAAAGTATTTTGTTCAACCTAAGGTTGGAAATGTTTAATGTTACATGCAGGAAGGTTTCCTGTACTTGATGCAAGGAATATAAATAGCTATGTTTTTGCTACTGTCCAGCTGAATGCCAGTTTTATGCAAAGTTAGAAGAAAACTGAACATCCAGCCCAACTCATGTACCTACAAAGTTGCAGCATATAACTGCATTCAAAAGTGAAACTACCTCATACCCCATTCTGAAAAATATTTACAGGCCAGGTTAACAGGCAATATACCAAGGCAAATATTCCTTATATTAAAGTGACATATTTAGTTATTCTTAAAAGAATGTTAACATCTGATGTTTTCTATGGAGAAAAATACAAAAAATTTACCTGTTGCAGAAGCATATTTTCTAAGTATCGGTAACCAAATCCATCCTCTGTGAAAGAAAACACAGTACAGTATAAAATCAGACTAGATGTCAAAGAAAATGAGCTGTTCTTCATGTAGAAATTGAGTAGCAAAATTGTTAAAGGCAGGGAAACTTTGAAAAAAACATTGGCTATGCAGTTTTATACAATCAAATTCCTTCAGTCTTCCTTAACTGGTGCTCTTCAAACTTGAGGATACAAACTTCATGCTCCTATCAATGGAAAGGACCAATGTTTGGGGATGACAGTCTATGTAGTGTAAAATGACCACAGAAGAGATTAAAGGGATAGATGATAGCAGTTTTCCAATAGCTGAAGGACTATCCTGTTAAAAAAAAGGTATGTGTCTCTTCTTGCTCCAGAGAGCAGGACTAGAAACTGTGAGTGGAATCGCAAAGGATGTGGATTTCAGTTAAACATCAGGATAACCTAGTAGTGCAAGCTCTTTAACCGTGGAACAGCCTGCCACAGGAAGTCATGGGCTCTCCTTTAGTGAAGGTATCTATGCAAGGGCCACACAGATATCTGTCAGTGACATTGTGGCTGCATCCTGAGTTTCTGGTTTCACCTTGAGCAAGCATTGGACTAGAAAACCACAAAGATCGCTTGAAACTCTTATCATGACATAAATCTGTGCAATTCTCAAAGGGAAAAGTATCAATTAATGCCAATCTCTCTCTCTTTCTCTCTCAAGCCGCTGGCCTCGAAGCAAACATACACACAACACACACACGAGGGGCCTCGGAGAGGAGCGGAGGCGCAGGGATCGCCTTCCGCCTCCTTCTACCCCCCC